AAACATGATACTTGCTACAACTTCTCTGAGCCATTAAAACAGTGGTCCTCAAACATTTTTTGTGAAACCCTAGTTGTCCATATAAATTGAAAAAATCATGAAGTGAATTGGTGGGTCATACACGGATCAGTCGCTGCGTTGACATTTGTTTATAAGCATAATAACCTAGGTTATACAGTATGTGTTTGCTGTTGAATTTCCTCAGTCTCACAATTTCAGTAAGAAAGGATCTAACCAAGCAGGAAACTAATGACTGCATTTGTCCTTCGTGGCAACTGAGATGTTGAGGAAATGTCATCTATTTTAAGTAGGTCGGATAGCTTGTATAACAGGCATCAAAAGAATGGATGAAAGGAGGAGGTGGTACCAGAACATAGTGTTTTCTACCACACAATCATAAATGAGACCTGTTCTAAAACAAAAAAAAGAAACACTAAACCTTGTAAAGGCTTGAACAGGCATTTAAAGACTGATTTATACTTATTCGTATACTATACAGCAATCATAACTAGAATAAACTAATAAACTATGTAATATTTTGTATTTATGTATTTTATTTTTACAATTTTTTTGTGTTTCAATACTACTTAATGTCAGTAGCACCAGAGATATGTTTTGTTGTTTATCCGTTGTGTATATCAGGGTCTTTCATCTAGTCTAAGGCAGACCGGTAGTGTTGTTAATATTTTATCACACTGCCATTTCCCCAAAAAGGGCAACTAAGACCACTGGCACAGTCTCAAAAACAGTTTATTTTTCGTGTGTGCAGTGACAAATGCATATTTACTCAAATACTTAGTTTATAAATATTTATATATTACTTTGTAATATATATTTTAAACCGTTTTACTGTCACATAAATATTATGTGCCTTTTCCAACAATCTTATTTTTGATCAGGGTTTTACATATTGTATATCCACAAAACATATTCTGTTTTAACCACTTACCACTTTGAACAAATATGCAAATCATGACATTTTCTTGCAGCTGAACTTGCAATGACATGTATGAAGCCTACATGGTCTGCATCAATTTAATTATTCTGCTCCACTTGGGCAACTTGACAACACAAACCAAGTGGAAGAAACCAACGAGCAACAAATACATTTAGCTTTTGCCTAAACTAAAACCACTAGAAATGTTAAATAAGGAAGGCTCAATTTCTGGTCTAATTTGTATTTTTGTATTGTCATCATCATGCAGAATAAATTTGGACCTGAAAAGATGGGTCATTATTCAGTTTAAATTGATTTGACTCTAACTTGAAGATTGTCATGTGTGTCTTGGTCGAGCCGTGTCTTGTCATGAGTCACTTCAAGTTCAGTCAGAGTCCATTATAAATTACACATAATGAATCTTTTTAGCTCACTTACATGAAAGCTTCAGTTCATTACTCAATTTAGATTTGCACATGAAAAAGCAGTTCTGTTGTTTATTTATTAGATTATATTTATTTTTCAGTGTTTACTCTATCACTACCTGTACACTAAAATATTTCATGTGGTAACTTTTTTTTGAAAACCTGTTTATGGCAAGACATGTCAGAGTATTATTTATGTTATAACAATATAAAATAACAGATAAATATAACAACTGTATGGGTGGTGAATTGCTTACTCATTGTTGGAAAAAACGTCAATATGTCTCAAACCTTTTTTTTTTTTTTTTTTTTTGCAGTCATTGGTGAGCTATATGATATTTATATGTTAAAATTTATGATTAAATATATTCCTGTCTTCTCTCCTCTATCTGTACCCAGTGTTGCTACTAGGGATCCTGTTTGAGGGATTTGCGGTCTGTCAATGAGGAACTACCGGCTCATCTTCTGCCACAACCTGAAGCAGCCTTAGATGGTTCAGGGCTTCATTGGCCAGAGGAGGAGAGGATAAGAAACACTTTCACTGCTACACGGTGAGTGTGTACACACACCTACACTTTAACATGGAGTACAGTTCAAAACGACTGAGCTGACAGTAGAGCATGAGAGGATGCGGCAAGAACAATTATCCTGGTGAAATCTTTTTGTATCTTTTTTTAATTTGTCTTGTTTTTCTGTTGTTTGTTCAAAGGAGTGAGGTTTTGGTTTGTGGTGAGGAGGAGGCAATGAGGAAGAGTGTGTCTCTGTTGCCATGCAACGAGGGCAGGAGCTCAGGCAGCACCACTCGTGTTTTTGGCGTTCCATTGGAGGAGGTGTCACGCACACTTACAATCAACGGCCACGAGGTCCCTGCAATAGTGAAATACATCGTGGACTATATCGAGGAGCATGGTGAGTGGTCGCTACATTACACAGACACGGTATGTGCTCACATCACAATTTTATTTTAAACCAATTATTTAGGTGCCTAGTGCAGGATAACATTTTCTCCATGCAATATTTAAATAGACAATTACGTTTTATTTTTACACTTATAAACATTAAAGTGAAGTGAGTATTAATGTATTTTAAAATATAAAAAAATATAAAATTTGACAGTGCAATAATTAATTTTGTAATTATTATATACCAATTTCACCTTAAGATATTGCAGAATCTGTTTCCCTGCACGGCCCCACCTAGAGTTGAAAGAAGAAGGTGCCACAAGGGAAAATCCTGTTTCATATAGATATGTTGTTGATAAAGAAAGCAGCTCATCATTGCATATTACACTGCATATCAACTATTGAAATTTTCTTTGCAGCATTATTTTTGTTGGCACTGTGCCCCTCATTTGATTTCTTATCACTGGCTCACTTCCTCTTTTCAAACATTCTTCAGCTCTTCAGTGTTTTGTTTTTGGGCCATTTTTGCAAAAGTTATACCTGATATATGACAGGATTCACGTACGGGAGCAAGTTCCAATTTCTGAAAAAGAAAATACCCAGAAGAATAAAAAATAAAATACATAATTTTAAAGAACTTTATTAATTTCCAGGCTCATTGAGTAATTTTGATTATCCTTTCTTAAAATAACTTTTATCTCCAAATCTTCAACTTTGTCTTTGTCTTTGTCTTTGCATAAACCAGCTTCTTCAGAAGTAGAACAATCATTCATGTCTACTGTCCAGAAACAGAAAAATCTTTTGTTTTCCACTGTGACTAATGAGTCAGTCACTGAACAAAGTTCTCCTTGTAAAGCCTGTCATGTCAGTGACGCTTTTTATAGAGTGCTGAACGAGAAGCTTCATCTTGAGTTGTCCTGGAGTGACCAGTGAAGCAGGCTGGTGGGTTTTTTGACCATAGGGCAACTCAAAAACGGCGTTATGTAATAAGAGCTTAATCCCCCCTATGGTTGTGCTGGCAGCGGTGTCGCCAGTATGTGAGTTATTGAGCCAGTGAGAAGGTTTCATTATCTGCTTTTCCTTTATGTGTGTGATTCTACAGGTTTAAGAAAAGTAGGGTGATGACAATATAACGTAAAGAAAGGCTTAAGAAAGAAAATATGAAGCACCTGAAGCTGTGTACCAATCAAAGCAATGATATCTGTGACTGTCTGAGCAGAAACCAAAGCCTTTGGCTTTCTTTGGTTTACAGGACACAGCACTTTAATACCTAAATATTTTTAAGGTTGTGTCTCCTAGTGTTATTGACCTGCATTACATTGTGAATAGACAGGGATTTGATATGATACATATCCTTTTATTTATTTATTATCATAAAACCCACTAGTTGTAATTTTAGCTTTGGGAGACAGAGTTTCACATGACATATAGTAGTACACAACAAACACACTGTTATGATGTTATTATGTTAAGTTGAAAACACAAAATGTTACATAGAAGTTGAAAAACAGGGTTCAAAGCAGACCGATAAATGATTCCTCCTCTCCTCTGTTATGTCTTGAAATAAATAGGTTTATGCGGACATAAAAATGTACATTCCCTTTATGTAAAAAGCATATTGCAGATAATCATATAAAAAATCTGGCATTGGATCCGTTGCCCAAATAAGACCAATTGACTATTTACTGTCTCCATAGGTCACCTGGACCTGGAGGGTCTCTTTCTCGTTAATGGCAATGCAGAACGTGTTGATTGGCTGCGTCAGCGCTACGACAGTGGTGAACAGGTGGAACTAGAGAAGGAGGCCGATCTGGCGTCAGCCGTAAGTTTGCTCCGACTCTTCCTGCAGGAGCTTCCTGAGCCTGTCATTCCAACAGAGATCCAGGGACACATATTGCAGCTCTACCAAGGTTAGTGACCTATTATGACCTTTAAATACACATTGTTTATAATTGGAATGCATGTCACTTCCTGCCCAATAGCATAATTGTTGACTAAAAGTGCAACATATAATAATTGCTCATGTGCTGTCTTTGAATTAAACATAATCCAATTTGTTTGATTTTTTTTTTGGGGGGGGGTTATCATTGAATGCGTGCTTAACTAAAGAAAAACAAACAACATAATTACCTATAATTTCATCAAGATCATCTCTGATTACATCAATGGAAAGTACCTGCACAGCAACATGTACAAAGTGTTCTAACATTAATTGTAATTATAAACCAACACCCATATTCCAGTAAAACTAAATACAGTAACCAAGCAAAATTAGTGAATGAGAAACACAGCCTGGAAATCATTACAAATATTTTATTTATATTTTTCAGATTACAGCAGTGAGGAGGAGTTGTGTAGGAATCTGAAATACCTGCTCCAGCAGCTTCCCCAATTGAACTATGGCTTGCTGCGTTTCCTGTGTCGCTTCTTAGCCAGTGTGGCATCTCTGCAGCAGGATAGCTGGAGTGTGGGGGCGCTAGCTGCAGTCTTTGGTCCAGACATCTTTCAGTAAGACACTTGTATTAGTTTCTATAGACTTCAGCGGGATCAATTTGTTATGTCAAGAATTATTTTATTTGAGTAAAATATCGAGATTTATCATAATTACAATCAAAGAGAAAACAATTGCGATATATGTATGTACTCGAGGTTATTTGATATTAAGCATCAAATTACACATGCAGAGAGTTAAACATACAAACATACTTTTTTATAAAAATAATCTCTCCTCTGTTCCATCTGCAGTCTATCAACTGAAGGAGAGAACATTAAGGACCAGGAGTCTGTGAGTAGAGTCCTGGCAGAGCTGCTGGACAATCAGGAGGGACTGTTTGATTCAGAAGATGATGATGTTTCCACCACCAATGACTACAGCTCCATCAATGAACAGGTATTGATTGTCTTCTTCATACTGTATCTACACCCATTTCAAAATGTGAATTACCAGTGATCTAGTACATCTTTCAAAGAGTTTGTCCTTCAATCTATATAATTTTTATCCGTGCTTTTATACTTGCAGCTTGAGTATTCTCAATTCTGCAGTTAAGATTCCCCCCAAAAGATCAATACAGTGTGTTTTCATCTATTTTTTTTTGGTTTGTCCTTCAACCTATATAATTTTTATCCGTGCTTTTATACTTGCAGCTTGAGTATTCTCAATTCTGCAGTTAAGATTCCCCCCAAAAGATCAATACAGTGTGTTTTCATCTATTTTTTTTTGTTTGTTTGTTTCTCTGGAGCTGAATGACTCTTTGTTGGTCCCTACAGTCACATTATTTCATTCTATTAATTTTCTTTTTATATGATCCTCGTGTCAATTATAAGAAGCAAAAGACACCTGTATAGAAAAAAAAATGCAGTATGAAATTTATAACTTCATTTAAGTTTGCCAAACAATTGTTAGAAACATGTTTGTGCTCTATTTCTGTATTTCTGACATAAAACTAAACATTTATGTCAGTTTAAAATGAAAGAGCACATAAAAATCCTTGTTTATTAGACAGGATGTGACATTTCACTCCTCTTCTGTTTTGATCAGAGAACTTTATTTTCATAAATAACAATTCTAGACACTATTGAATTGTTAATTATTAAATTGTAGTTATCTTTGTTTTCACCACTGCACATCCACAAATATATGCTGTACACAACAACTTAGATAAACTATAGTTTTGCCCTAAATGAATTGTTTGTTTGAGACATTTGACAATATGGACATCCAAACAATCACATTTTTCTCATTTACATTAGCTTTTTTTAAATGCTACAAAGTTCTACCTGTGATGTATCCTCATGTACATTTTTTTAATGAAATACTAATTAAGTGGGAGATAAGAAAACAAGCCACTAATGGTGTAACCATGGGGTTTAAAAAATAAATAAAGCTAGAAACACACATATGAGTTAAGATTTTAAGAAAAAGTGGACAGATCATATAAATTAAGACAAGAAAAGAAATCCTCTGTAACATTAAAACTATGTAAAGATATCGGGAGTTAAGAGTGAGAAGAAAAAATATTTAGGGAATGGATTTTAATGGATTAAAGATTAACTGCATAAAACTAAGGTTTATGCCAATTTCAGAACCACTGACCACTATACTTTACTCAATGAACATGTGTTGGACTCATTTACACCTGTAGTGGACCACCTGACATTTCCAAAGCAGTGCTCTTTGTGGAGCTTAATGCACTGGTTGTAATTGAAGCAAACAGTGCGTTGCAACAATCAGTCACATATTAATGTGTATTGTGACCTTAATTGAAGCAAACAGTCACATATTAATGTGTATTGTGACCTTGAAAGGCTTAAGTGGCAGCTGCACAGTTAAACAGGCTGTCTCAAGACTACATCTGCCAAATGAATTAGTCTCCTGATGAAGGTTTGTACTAGGTCTGGTAATTTAACCTGAGCAGACAAATGAAGCAGAATGTTTTCTGTTATTTGTGCCAGCTGATTCAAGTGTGTCTGGATCTGATAGATGTAACAGATGTGCCAGTAAATGTAGAAATGGCCGGGGATGTTAATGAGAATGTGCTAATTCCCAGAAGATATCACAATGTACAGCTGCAGTGAACATGTTCTGTGCAGTCAGTCTGAGAATATACATTTACAGTTCATGATCTAGTGTCATAAAGATGAACTGTTGAGCAGTAACCTATTAAAGACAGAACATAGAGTTATTTCTGGAGGTAAATGGCCTAGTTGGCCAGTCACGAGCATGTCTGATATCTTTCCAGCATCTCTAATATTGCTACATGCGATGTGTAACATGGTTTATCCGTAATCACGCCACTGTTGGTGTATTTAAAGTATTTTAGACGCAAGTAGCTGGAAAGTGCACATGACTGTGAATTACTCACTCACTGTATTTACTTTTTAGAATGAAACAAAGCATGAATCTCATCAGCTCAGTAACTTAATCCTGATCTTTAATTACCTAAGAAGATTCATTCATGTCCTACAATTCACCTCATAAATAAATTCAGAACTTAAAATATGAAAAAAAGTCTTTGGACTATTTGTATATCCTAATTCCTATACATCATTTGATTCTGTGGAGTTCAGTGTTGTATTTGTTAAAAATAAATGTTCTTTTTTTGGTTATTTAAAAAAATTAATAAGGATTTAAGTACAACTTCTCTCCCCGATATCACCATTGTGTGGTAGAATAAGCCCCCATTTTTACCATACTGATTTGAATCTCAGAACACAATCACGTACGTGACTCAAATGACTCAAATGACAGTGAAAGAATTTCCTGACTGCCCATTGTAGCTCTGGGAAATGCCATGTTTCCATAGCGACTACATAGTGACAGCAGCAGATGGAGCTACTGTCAAGAAGGGCAGTTAATAGTGTAGAGGGAAGGACAAACAAACACAAGGACAGAGGTGATAGTCTTATTATGAACTATGTGGTTAATGTTTTTTCCACAGAGGCTTCACAGTTATTTTTAAAGTGATTCATAAGGTAGAACATTAGAAATATCTGTTTTATGATGGTACATTGAAAAGATGTATAGTAAGTACTGCTAATTGTGCTTAGGAAATTGCTTTAAAAATGTCGCAGTTTGGTTTATTTAACCTGTAAACCACAGCTCAAGCTTTCCACTGAAGTTTCTTGGTCACATGCCGTCAGCTGTCTGAAATATGATGAGTTATTTCTGTCCTCACATTTAATCCTCTCCTGCGTGTCAAGCATTTATTTCCTTCTCTTCCTCCTCTCTCATTCTACCTTCATCCTTCTCTTACATCAGATTTGTTGCTCACTTCCTCCTGTTTTTATCTTCTTCTCTTGTCTTTGGCTCGTACCATTCTTCATCTGTCTTGTTTCACTTACTTTACAGCTGTTACAATGTTTGCTTGTTATTAATGAAACTGTTACTCCCTGCCATAGTTTTAAAATAGGAGAATTCTCCTGTGACAAACAAAGGTCACTAACTGGAGCTCAATGTGAGATTTGTGATGGTTTTATATACTCCTATGCTATTTTGACCAAAATAGTATTTCAGGAAAATAAAGACGTACCACATATATTGTAAGCCGCATCTCCTTATTTAAATTACCCACGGGCCACAATGTGCCCCAGGATGGACCTTGGACATGCCCGCTGTAGGGTTTATAAATGTTGTACATGAAGTACTTATAGTTATGAATTATGTTTTGTGGCATGATTATTCCAGCAAAAAAGAAATTCATAAAAACAAAATGGAAACATCTGTAAATGGGCTTCAGATATGAGTGGTAATAATAAGCTCAAAGCTGAATGATCATACATATGTGTTATTCACCTGCCAGAACTGGTCGAAGCCTCTGTAGTGCTGATCTATACTGTGGTTTTGTTCTGATCTGACATATTGAACACATTGAATCACAGTGACAGTGAATCATTTTTATTGTATGATTACAGATTATATAATAATTTTAAAGCCAATAAGATCATCACGGCGAATGTGTGTGTGATTTCCAGAACATCACAATTTAATTTTAAACTTGATTATCTTGGTAGTTTATAGTCTGACACGGTGGCTGCCCAAGGCCCAGATAACTAGTCATGTGACTGTTGTGTAAGAGTCTTGATGCAAAGGGCTACATTCTTCTCTCATACACTCACTCTCCCCTCTCTCATCTTCTCATACAACATACGTGAATAGTAATTTCTCTTTTACTTTTTTTCCTCTATATCTGTGGTATCAGTCATTGTCTGATAAGCTTGTTCTACTTTTTTTTGGCACAAGCTGATTGTTGCTAGTATGTGTACAGGACCAGATATATAATGATACAGGTATCTTTCTTTTCAACTGAATTTTTACAGATATGGAAATTTTCCACGTATTTTGTGACATTACATGAATGAGATCATTGTTCTTCTGTGTATTTTCCTGTCTCCTTAAGATCACAGAGTTGCTAGATGACGATAAGTGTGAGGCAGAATGCGAGGAGCTGCCTCAGGATGGGGAGGAGGGTCTGGCTTCCTCCAACTCACCACAGCACTCTTACACCTATGACAGCCCTGCAACCAGGTGAGATTGAATGTTGTTGTTAAACAAGAATAGTTTGTTGAAAGATGAGGTTGAAGGGGTGACATGTGACGAAGGAACCTGACAAGACAAGTTCCATGACATTGCAGTCACAAAGCATTGACTGTCCCTCAGGCTAATCAGTGTTTTAAATGATTGTTTTGCAGCCATGTTTACTTTTTGTGCCTTCACCTGACTTCAGTTTCCCGCAATTACAACTTCAACTTAACTAGTTACTCCCAGTGTTTTAAGGTTTAAAGATACGTACTATACGTTTAGTATAATGCATTATACTAAGTTTAGTATAACGTATATTGTTACACTTGGTAAAATGTTCACTTTTTAGTGGCAAGGCCAAATATGTTGTAGAATTTTAAGGAAAACCCCATTTGTCAGTAGTTAATTTGCAAGAAGAGGACTGGAGTGGATAAACGCTCAAGGATAGTCATAAAAAAAAAACTTCTGCTAAGTAAGAAAACCCCTGAACAAAAGAGTTTTATTGACATTATATATGATAATGTTATGGGTTCGGCGGATTCCACTTAGTCACGCTGAAAGTTGCTGTGCAGGGGTGATGATCGTTACCTGCTAAGAATCAGAAGACAGACACCTTGACACACACGCAGACATGCTCACGTTCACACACTCTCCTTCCAAACCAAAGAACCAGAGTTCAATCCCCAGTGAGAACATAGTGTTCGCTCCTTCGTCTGATCTGCTGATCTGCTTTACGTTAATTACCGAGTCTTTCCTCCACACTGCTAAATATATACATATATATATATATACACTTACACATTTAACATCATGAACTGTAAAATATTTAAGGGTGTAGAATATATTTATACAATACTAACATACAGAATTGCTCTTTTAGTTTGTAAAATACTTTCAAACAGATTTTACATTTTAATTAGATTGGCTTAGTTTTTTATTATGTATCTGCTGTGTGAGGAGAAACTAATGTGAATACTAAATAGTTATATACTTACAACAAACACTGCCTAAAACAAATATAAGTTAAAGAAAAATTCTGGCAGGATGGATTTCTCTCATGATTTTCATTATTCCCTCTAAAGAACCTTGTGTTGTTTTCTTTTTATCTTTATTCTCTAATTCTGTTAATTTCTTTTTCAATTTCTGATTTCTCATTTTTTTCATATGAGGAGATTGTTATATTTCCCCCCAATTTGTCCTAATTTTCAGAATCTAATCATAATTTGTGTGGACAAAGCATAAAATAGCACAAAATATTTTTCCATCTCTTGTGTAGAAATCTGCTGTTAATGTTGTTCAAACTAGTTTACTGCACTGCGACCTTAAATGGTTGATCAATAGCGACCTATCTAGATAAAAACAAATAGGTATCATACAGCAATAAATCTGCTTATCTGACTACTATGTTGTGTGTGTGCGCGTGCATGTGTGTATTTGTGTGGCCTTTAAGATGCTTACAGTCAGTAATCCACATATACTGTACATACTGGTGTTTACCTGCCCTGTGACATACAGTGCGTAATTGGTTTTACTGTTTAAAAGAGATGAAACCGAGGTGTCCTTCACTCTTATGGACCTGATTTGCTGACTGTTTTTTCACGGTGGACCAATTGTCTCTAACCACAGCAGAGGCAAATAAATAAAAAAAAGTTGAACGTTTTTTTTTTTTTTACAAAAGTGTTTTTACAAAATTATTTTTGCAACATCTGTAGCCCAGTGCTATACAACAGAGAACTAAACTAAGTGTATAATTATGCTTAGTATAAAGCAAACGTAGCAAACTACAAACGTTGACACAGCTTTATTGAATAAATTGATTATTAGCCAATATATTTTCGAGGTCATGGTCCAGTAGCATCTGTAAAATGAGGTTGGCATATTGCTTAATTGTTTGTTTGACAAGCAGTCCTATTGCATTTTGTATCGAGAGAGCAGTTCATATAGCAGATGTTGTGACATGGAGTCAAAGCTCAAAGCTTTATTCATTGTGGATGGAGATGGAGTCTGTTAATACGCAGCAAATAGTTTAACGTAAGCACGCTGACACTTGTCAGGTTGTTTGAGCTTTTAGACTGCTGTGATCGTTTCACTTGTTTAATGCTGTGTTAGTGACTTTTTTCAGTACCACGTATCTCTGTGACCTTGTCTAATCGTGTCTCCTCTGGAGTATTACTGCTGCATTAAACTGCATTAGTTTGACAGTGTACTTTATAAACAAATGCAGACCATAATAAGCTTACAATTTTAGACTTTTTATAAGCTCATCATAAATGCCGTAATAGATGACTATTTTAGGGCCACCTATTTAGGAAGGAAATCCTTGTCAGCATTTGTCCTCATCTGATTAGATAAAGTTCTCAGTCTGTTTGTCTGACCTGATTATTTTTATTATACAGAAAAGACCAAAAGGGCATACTAAACTACACGGTCAAGAAAATGTTTTAAAATATTTGACTCTTATTATAAATCATTGCAATTGCATTGCAGTGTTGCTTGCTGTGTTGATTTTTAACCAACTTTAATGAGAGTTGTACACATTCCATCCAACTCTTTCATTTTTATACTTTTTGTTTGGTTCTCAACTTTTATTTTAAACAGTGAACAGTAGTTTTGTATTTGTTGTCCAAATGTAATAAATGGGTCAAGTGTAACATGTAAGTAGTCACTGTTTAGTGCATGCCAGCTTCTCTTTGACTCATTACTAGTTGTGACAACCTAGAGAGTAAAAGTTTTCCTTTAATGATTCTGAGTTGTTTGTCTAACACTTGACAGACAGGAAAGTCTGTCTGTCCTGTGTGGCTGTCACCATGTTCCATTAATAGACCACTTCAGCCGACACACAAACACACATTTTACTTGTTGACAGTCTCTGCTAATTTCAAATCTATATTTAATCCAAGCTATTTCACCTCTGATCTCAGTGATTCCTGTGTCATGACTCCCCTCCTTCTCCCACTCTCCTCTGCTGTATATTATCTGACCTTGGAAATATTTTTAATCAATTAACCGATAAAAAGTGCAGCCAAAGAGTAAGGGGTTCATGGGCTTAACTTTCAGTCTCCTGGCACAGGAAAGTGCCTTCTCTTGTGAATGATTTATTGATTTTATTCTGTAGTCTAAGTTAAAATGCAATTTCAGACCTACTTCTATAAAACACTTCAAACTAACTCCTGTCATTTCTCACTGTTACAACTACTGTATCGTACCATTTAAATGTGACACCACAGAGAACCAAGTATTCCCTTCATTTTGGAAAATGAATAGCTCTATATTAGTGCCCTGGTTCAAACCAAACTTATTTACCAGCGTCTGCATGCATGTCATATCACAATGTACATAAACACAGTATACAGGTCAGTACAGGGGCATCAGGTATGTACACTATTTGGCCCAGTTCTTTTGAACTAAGTTTTACTGCTTTTTTCTTTAGATGCTACCACACTGTATAGTTCACTTCCTTAACTAAGCACAATGTTATACATCATGCACTATGCTCTATTTTCAGGGGTATGATTACTTACATGGGGTAAATATTCTGCCAAGTAATGGATTGACACACAGCTGGATACAATCATGAAACATCTCTACTTTCTCATCTTTAGCCATCCATACAACATAATCTGCTATACTAAATACTTGTTTCTGGACAGACCAGTGCCACTGAAAAATATTTAATATTTAAGGCACTAGTTTGATTTACATGTGCGTCCTACTTAATTATGTGCCATCTTTTCTGTCCTCACTCTTCATTTCCTTTCAGTTCTGCCAGTGGGGGTGGTGCAAACACTGGGCACAGGGTGTAATATAATAGAGTGACTGGACTAGATAAGACCATTCTTTTACTTTTGCTATCAGTTCTCACTCTCAGTTCTGGAACAGCTGATGTGTGTTGCTTTGGTATTGAGAAACAAAGTTCCTAAATTACTTGGAAAAATGATTTCAGTGATTTCGTTACAATCTGTCACACACTGTGATTCGGATCAGAAAGTATAAACTTTAAGTCATGTTAAGGTCTCAAAATGAAGGTGCCTTGTTTTTGTCCACGGACAAATGTATTCATAATAAATAACTTTTTTTCAGGATCACCAATTGTTGGCAATATAATATCATATATGGGAAACTGTGGATGAAGGATCTAACCATGATAAATTATCACAGAAATATTTCTTGCAGTCAAATAAACATTGACTACCTAAATGTTTTACCAGATGTAGTACATACAAGTCCTTTGTCTTCTGATTATTCTAGTTCCGTCCTCTACATTTGTTGTGGTGTATTTCTCTTACTAAGACATGCTGCATTTGTTCACTCTACCTTTTGCTAATTGGGTTTATTATAAAAATGCTGCTGGGGAAGATATAAAAGAAAGGTGTGTGTGTGTATGTCTGTATGTGTGGTGGCACTCATGTTCAGTTCATACACCATTATACAGCTCAGTGGGTTGATTGTGATAAATGCTGAGTTAAGAGTCATCACACTAAAAAGATCCCCTCCAAAAAAAACATTTTTTATTTTCTTTCTGACCAAGGATAAGCTCACATATCGCTTCCCTTCTTTATGATTGGCTTCCACCTTTAGCTCCTCCTTTCTGATTGGCTCCCTCTGGGCTTGTTGTCTGGTTGCTTCAGAAGCTCATATATTTAAGCAGGGCTCTGGATGTTTACTGCAGCACTTTTGCAGAGTGCACAGTGAGGCAACATCACTCACTGACTCGCGCACACATTTAGAGGACACCGCAAAATGTGCCAAAGCAATAGCCGCACTCTTCTTCTAGACTTGCTGGTATTTGCTCATCTGGGAAAATAGATAGATATGATCCAGGTTGAATTCTGAAACCTGAAGAATAAACCAGCATTAAAAAGAGAGAAAATCTGCTTGAGCTCAGTTCAGTTTAATGTCAAACTGGCGTCTCTTTTGGAAAACAACATCAAGACTTCAACCACTGCATTTATAAAAGAAGACGCTACAATATCCAGAACGAAGAAAAAGGGCAGAAGACTTTACTCAATAACAATAATAAGGATTTAAAAACAAGAAAAAAGGACAACTCTAAATGAGAGAAAATGAGAATGGCCTGTGACATTCTGCTGCAGAGGTAAACACCAGTCTTATGTAATTCCTAACTCTGACACAGTACAGTTGAATGAATAGAAGAATGATGAATGAAAGAAGTCAAAGAACTGCATATGGTGCTCTGAGTCATTGGGAGTCTTTATGCAGATTGATATCTTTTATCAACTTTTTAAATCTAAATCTTTTTTGTTCTTTTGTTATGTGAATGTGGTACAATGTGAAAGATTAGAGGCAGTTGGATTTACACAAGGAATTGGAGCGAGTGGAGACTGAAGGGAGCAGAATTGACAATGAAATGAAATGAAATGTACAGTTGTTAGTGCAATATTTAATGACTGATTCAGAGTCTATCAACAAATCAATTGTTGTCAGTACATTGCTGAAACATAACAGTCCCTACAAAATTGCAAAAATAATTTTAATTTTGTATGTATACCATTTTTTGTCTGTGAAAGATGTAGGGCGTTGGGACTAAGATTATTTATGATGAACCAGCAGGCTGTTTATTGAATCACTTTGAAATAAACTGTCTGCATTATAATGTGTAGGAAAGGAATGAATTTAACATTTCAGTGGCCATTTAAAAACTCCCATGTGTGAGACAGCTTGGAACCAGACCAGGGAGCAGTGATCAGACAAAAAAGCAAACCACACATCTTGAAACATCAGCATTGTCAACTTCATTGTTTGGTTAGGATCCAAATATTTTATGTATAAAAACTTACTGTTGTGAGAAAGACGGTGCTTATGGTTTTATGACAACTAACTCTTGCTTCACCTTAGATGGGGCCATTATAACTTTATATTATTATAAATTATAATTAATTCATACAGGTATTTTCATACATACATGTTAAAATAGTAATATTATAATTAATTCATACAGGCATTTTCATACATACATGTTAAAATAGTATTTGTAACATGCATATTTGTTTGTTGTTTTTAATGTTAGAGACCAAAACACCATCACTCTGTGTTGTTTCTCTTTGGTCATTGAGTCAACAGCTGAGTCAAAGTCAGTCAGCATTTTAGCTCAGCTTTAAACTGTATACTATGGAGTGGTGTGCATTTGATCGTCTTGGCCTATATCCGTGGTATTTACTGTATATATGTGTATATGTATAAGCTGTGGATTACATAACCAATGCCCGACTTGACATTTTGCCAAACTACTTTATTACAGCACAACCTGGCATGTTAACTATGGACTGAACCTATTTTTGACTTAAAGTGTCGTAAATCCCACACGAGCCTCTGCTAGTTTTTACTAGTTTTATTTATATATATATGGTAACTAAGGATGGTCATTTAGTTTACTTGCTTGCTGATAGCAAAACCTCTACTTCAAACAGTCATAAATTTCATAAAAATCATCCCTGTGGTTTATTAGAAATTGTTAGAACTGTTGAGCCATTAAAACAGACATGACTCTCTAAGCTGTGGGCTCTCCAGGAAATCTAAACTTGTCATTTAGTGTCTGTAAGACCTGAAGTTGCTAGGTAGCGGGCGTCAATACATCTTACTCTGTGCTCACTGCTTACTTCAGAGACAGTGCTGTGTTTTCCCCTGGTGGATATTGAGTATAACTTTGACCATTTCTTCACAGTAGTCTCAAATTATCACTTTTCCCAATCAAGGTTTCACGTCAAGCTGCTAATACCAGTGCCTAAATATGTGACTCCATAAGACGTCATTGGGGTCTTATTCCTTTCTCTCTTCTTTTGATGTTTGTGTCTGCATGGCCATAGCTAATCTTATCATCTCAAGGCCATATGGAAAACAATTTTAAAACATCTCAATTTTCCTGCCACATTACATCTAGCTGCTTTTCCCTCATTTTAAGAACGAAAAATTGAACTTTTTTTATCTAACAGCAGAAAACATTCTCCTGTGTAACTTTTCCATCTGTAATCCTTCTTTAAGCCACTTGGATAAGACAGAGACGCCACATCTTTTGATCTCATCTGTCCTTCATAATAATAGCCATGGGTCAGACCCTTGAGGATCTTGGTTCTTTAGAGCTTAAGTAAATGTTTTCATTGCTGCGTAGGGAGTTTGGGGAGGACAAGGATATGTTGAAGAAGCTAACCACAGTTTTAGTTCTTGTCCTTTGGGGACAAACTGAAATCAGATGTTATTTTTGATACTTAAGGCTCTTGGCAATTACCAAGAATTCATTGTTGATGATACAGAGCAACCAAGTGTGCGTGATTGCCTATTGTAAAGCAGAATAGCCGGCAGTTAGATGTTATCTGTAGGGTCTGATACTCTAAATGTATACAAAAATAAATCACTTACAGGCTCATATAGGCTTCCCAAGCAATGAAGCAGAATAGAAATGACCATGAAGTATCCAAATTCCTTTATTGTTATTGTACAAGTACAAGGAAATTCAGTGCATTCATGGTGTGTCTATATCTCTGTGTCTGAATGAGAAGTTACAAAAATGTGGATTCTTGGTGTGACTTTGAGTTAGTGTGTAAGATCAGCTGCCTGCTGAATCAACACACATCTCAGCCTCCTCCTCAATCTTTCTCTTTTAAACACACACACCACTTTGCCGATGGAAGAGAATTCAAGAACAAGCATGATATTCTCCTATCTGATTAGCAGTGTTAAGTAAAGCTCTGCAGCCTAAATAACAATCTGCCCACCCAGTGTGGCGCCACAGACTTGAATGCTGTGTTTGTGTGTTTTTCATCTCTATCTTTATCTAACATGCACACACACAAATGCAGCATCTTTATTTTCTTGGTACTTCCATTTTGGAGGTAAAATAGAGATGAAAAGAATGTGACGTTTTAACCACATTGCCCTTTTCTTCTGTCTGTTT